ATCCTTCCAGAACAGCTGGGTATCTGGTATAATGCAGGCCATAATTCCGAGTATATCGTAAGTACCTGAATACTCTCACTATTGGTTTCCAATGGTCAGCACTCGGATTGCTTGTGTATCTACTTAATTTACCAACCGTATAGGCAATGTCTGGTCTAGTACAACTCATTAAGTACATTAGACTTCCAACAACTCTAGAGTACTCTACTTGAGAAATACCCTCTCCTCTATTCTTGGAAAGATGAAGACTATTGTCTAATGGTGTTCTAGCAATACCAGAATCATTCATGTTGAATTTTTCAAGAATCTTGTCCACATAGTGCGACTGGTTTAAAATAAGACCTTCTAATGTTCTTGTGATTTTAATTCCTAAAATCATATCAGTAGGTCCCATATCTTTCATGTCAAATCTTGAATTCAACATATACTTGGTAGATTTGATCATTTTATCATCACTACCAACAATTAATATGTCATCTACGTAAAGACATAAAATGACATAGCCATTTGTTGTCTCTTTAATGTAGACACATTTATCACATTCATTGATCTTAAAACCATTGGTAATCATTGCATTATCAAACTTTTCATGCCACTGTTTTGGTGCTTGTTTTAGGCCATACAATGATTTCACCAATTTACAGACTTTTCTTTCTTGTCCTGGAACTATAAAACCCTCAGGTTGTTCCATGTAGATTTCTTCATCCAAATCACCATTTAGGAAAGCTGTTTTTACATCCATTTGATGTACTTCCAGATTTCGCAATGCTGCAATTGCAATTATCATCCTAATGGAGGTTATTCTCGTCACAGGAGAATAAGTATCAAAGTAATCTAAGCCTTCTCGTTGTTTGTATCCTTTGATCACAAGTCTGGCTTTGTACTTATCAATGGAGCCATCTGCTTTCATTTTCCTTTTAAAAATCCATTTGGACTTTAAAGGCTTACAACCAGGAGGAAGATTCACTAGCTCCCAAGTATGATTCTGCAAAATAGAATCAACTTCACTTTTTATTGCTTCTTTCCAAAGAGGTCCCTCAGAAGAATTTACAGCTTCTGCATAATTTAATGGTTCCTTTTCTAACAAATAAGTTAGAAAATCATTTCCAAAAGATTTTTCCACTCTTGCTCTTTTGCTACGTCTCGGTTCTAGTTCATGATCTGAGTCATGAATTTCATGAGCCGAATCGTGACTTTCTTCATTCATAGTTTCATTCTTTCGTTTAGATGAACTTGATCCATCATTGGATTTACAAGGAAATACATTTTCAAAGAATGATGCATTCCTAGATTCCATGATCGTATTCTTGTGTATATCTGGAATTTTAGATTCATGCACAAGAAATCGATATGCATTACTGTTATGTGCATAGCCTATAAAGATACAGTCCACTGTTTTAGGACCTATCTTTGTCTTCTTTGGTGTTGGAACCGCCACTTTTGCAAGACACCCCCACACTCGCAAGTGTTTGTAGGATGGTCTCCTACCTTTCCATAACTCATAAGGGGTTTTATCCTCTTTCTTTCGAGGTACCTTATTTAAAAGGTAATTGCTTGATAATATAGCTTCTCCCCACATATTTTGAGGCAAACCTGAATTTAGTAATATCGCGTTCATCATTTCTTTCAATGTGCGATTTTTACGTTCAGCAATACCATTTGATTGAGGAGAGTAAGGCGCAGTTATTTCATGTATAATTCCGTGTTGTGCACAAAATTCACCAATTGGTACTTCATACTCGCCACCTCTATCACTTCTCAATCTTTTAATTTTCTTATTGAGTTGATTTTCAACTTCATTCTTATAGAGAACAAATTTCTCTAAGGCTTCGTCTTTGCTTTTAAGCAAATACACATAGCAGTATTTGGTGTTATCATCGATAAAATTAATAAAATATTTATTACCACATCTCGTTTGAATGAATTTCAAATCGCAAACATCACTATGAATTAATTCAAGGGGTTCAATGTTTCTTTCAATTGTTTGAAATGATGATCTCGTTAATTTTGCCTCAACACAAATTTCACATTTATGTTTTGAATCAATTTGAAATGAAGGTATATGTTCCAAGTTAATTAATCTACGCAATGTATCATAATCAACGTGTCCTAGTCTACCATGCCATAAATTGGAAGACTCAAGCAAATAAACGGAAGACTTATTATCTTTATTGATAATTGTCATTACATTGAGCTTAAAAAGCCCATCAGTTACATATCCCTTCCCCACATACATTCCGGATTTAGACAAAATAACTTTATCTGACTCAAACACCATACGAAATCCATGCTTGTTCAACAGAGACCCAGAAACCAGGTTCTTTCGAATTTCTGGCACATACAGGACATTGTTTAGAGTCAACTCTTTTCCAGAGGTCATCTTCAGCAACACTTTCCCTTGGCCTTCGACAACAGAAGAGGCAGAGTTTCCCATAAAAACCTTTTCTCCATTAATTGGTTCAAGATTTTTGAATAGATCCTTGTTAGAGCATATGTGCCTAGTGGCACCAGTGTCAATCCACCATTCTTTCAGATTGGACCCAACTAAGTTTACTTCAGAAACCATTGCAGAAAGGTTTATGTTTGACACGTCTTGAGCGATGCCATTCACCATATTTGTCTCATAATTCTTCTTCTTCGGAAGTCTGCATTCCATAGATCTATGCCCCATTTTACCACAATTGAAGCATTTTCCTTGGAACTTGTTCTTGGAAACTCCTCCTTTTGGCCCCAGCTTTGGCTTGGCAATCTTCTTGTTCTTGTGGCCTTGTCTAAGCTCCACAACATTTGCCTTAGCTGTATTAGGATTGAACCCTTTGCGTTCAGATCCTCTATTGTCTTCTTCGATTCGAAGTCTAACAATCAGCTCTTCCAGGTTCATTTCCTTTCGCTTGTGCTTGAGATAGTTTTTGAAATCCTTCCACCCAGGAGGTAGCTTTTCAATAATAGCGGCCACTTGGAAGGTTTCACTCAAGATCATTCCTTCAGCCTGAATTTCATGCAAGATCACTTGAATTTCTTGCACTTGACTGATCACAGTCTTAAAGTCCACCATCTTATAATCAAGGAATCGACCGACAACAAATTTCTTTGCTCTGGCATCCTCTGTTTTATATTGCCGGTCCAAGGCTTCCCATAACTCCTTTGCCGTCTTTTTTGCACAATAGACATTGTACAATGAGTCATGTAAACCATTCATGACATAGTTTCTGCATAGGAAGTCAGAGTGCTTCCAAGCTTCAACAGCGTTGAAGGCTTGCTTATCCGTTTCTCCATCGGATATCTTAGGAGCTTCCTCAGTCAAGAATCTCGCAAGATTCAAAGTTGTTAAATAAAACAACATCTTCTGTTGCCACCTTTTAAAGTTCGATCCGTCGAACTTTTCAGGTTTCTCACCGTGGTGGACAGAAACCGCAGGATGGACAGAGGATGAGCCAGGCAGTTGGACAGTTGAGGCATAGGCAGAGTTTTTGGCGATGTTGTCAGCAGCCACATCGACACCATCGTTTCCAGCAGCCACATCCACGACTTCTTTACCCGTAGCCATTTGAATTTCTAAAAGCGCGATTCTGTTTTAAGATTGTTGCGAAATTCAAATCGGCATCAGTATAAATATTACAAACAATATAGAGCTGTAAAGAAACGAAATTGTAATAACAAAGTTGGAATCGATACAAATGAATACTGAGGCCTGTGTTTGACACAGTGTCCTTAAAACAGATCCGTTCCCTCCAGTACGCGACCGAGGTTTCGTGAACGTCTGTCTCCCAGGATACAACGGTTGACAGCGAAGAAGAGAGCACGGCACTTCCAAGCTTCCGGCGAACTTGAACAAACTCGAAATGAACACTACCGAAAAACAATGCAAATGCAGAGAGAGTGTAAAACCAGAGGAAGAATGATTTCGATAAAAGGAACAGAGGGGAGAGCAATTCGGGAATAATAATGGCCGATTAAATCTGTCGTTACAAAATCAATATGAATAACGGACGATTAAATCTGTCGCACGTTATGAAATTCGTAACTGTTTGAGTTGAAAAGGAAAAATAAATCAGAAGGCAAAATTGGGCTCGTCGCGAGGCCCACTTTTCGGTCCTGCAATCGTGTACGCGCCCAAGTTTCAGCTTGTCGGGCGTCGGATTTGCACCCCCCCTGCGCCTGCGCGCGAGGCAGAGAGTTTGTGCTATGATAGTTACCACTTCAAATAAGTGTAACTGTATATAAAGCACTCCATAGCCTTCTTTCTTTTCCGATGTGGGACTAGTGTTTTTCCACATCCCACTTCCAACTCAAGGGTGTTTTTTGAGCATCAATTTCTCATTCATTCACCCATCAATTTATCCCATATTTCCAACATGCACAACCTCCACCTAAATGAACGGTAAATAGTGGAAGGACTTAACTGTACAAATCAAACAAGTTCAATAATTCACTTGGTCGGATACCTTTTGTTTTTCCCTCACCAAACACTTCCAAAGTAATTGCTCGAAATCACCCAGAAGAAAAGCTCCTTAGATCCACCCTATGGTCTCCTGGCCAGGAGCTTTCTCCTTTGTTTTGGTGTTTTTTTTTTATTTTCGTATAATTTGGCGATAATACTTTATTGCGGAAGGCTTGCCCATCCCGAAAATAATGGCCCCCTTCGTATAAAATATAATGTTAACAGCTAAACTACTCCAACCATCTCAAAAGAAATAGAGACTCAATCAGGAACCAATCCCATAATTAGGCACATGCAGGCTTCTGATTGGCACTCTACAATAGAAAAATGTTGCAATATCTTCATATTCGTCCCCATATCTTCTGAAGACCCATTTTTTAAGAATCCGTCTGGTCTAATCTCTAAGCAACTCCACCTCAACACTCAACAGCCAGAGAGAGATAAACTTTCTAAACAATTCACACGTGGGACTAAATGAAAATGATGGATGAATAGCTAGTTAGAACAGCTATATAAATGGAGGATCAAAAGCATTACCTTGTAGTTGTCTCGCGGGCTACAAGGAAAGGAACAGATAGAGCATTTTTCAGATAAAGCCAATAAGGTTAGTTTCTTCACTTGAATCTATCTCCTTCCGTTACAAGATCATAAGTACATGTCGCATCTCATCTCATCTCTTGCACGCTAATCTGTGAACAACATCAGTGTTCCTCTGAGCGACGGCACAGTTTCTGCTGCTTCTTTTTTTTCATTAGTTGCATTTGTGTCGAGGAGCAAAACCACACGTAGTTATTTACTATCTGGATTTGAATTTTGTCTAACTCCTGCAAGATCTAATGCAGAACTTAGAAGGGTTATCATCTGCGTCATTTTTATTTTCATAAATGGAAATACTTTCCACAAAATGGTCAACCAAAACGGTAACATAAAAAATTTCTTAACTTTGAGCCATAAAAACTATGTATACAGCGACTAATTTAAGATCTGTTTCAATAGTGTCGTAATGGACTTTTTTGTTTCTGCCATGTGGTATCATGAATGTTACAGAGAATGGATGACTTCAACAACTTCATCCACCAATACAACACCAACTCTCCTGATAATGGAGGGCTCATGACTGAAGAAATTGCAACTGCACTGGGACAGACTAATAACAAAAACAGTAACTTGCAGAACTGCTTGTATCCGAACCTCCATGCTTCATACCCTCCTTTCACTTCCCAGAACTCCATTACATCCACCACCACCACATGCAGTGACTCGTCCAGCGAGAGATCTTGGACCGGTCACGAGAGGCCCTCCAAGCTCTTGAAGGCAAGCACCTGCGGTTCTTCCTCCTCCTCACACCTCGTTTCGTTCTGTACATCAGCTTCAATGGCCTCGAACCTCCAACAGCAAGTTTATGGGAATTCGCAAAACCCTTCTGCGACGCCGAAGAAAGAGGCAGTTTCTCAAGAGTACAATATGACTTTCGGGTCTTTGAACTCTGGTGTTGTTTATCCCAATAACCAAAACTCCGGCCCAAAAGCCGGTCTGGGGATTAAGAGAGCTTATCCTGTTTCAAGGACTCCATCAAGTGCTCAAGACCATATTTTAGCCGAAAGAAAGAGGAGAGAGAAGCTTAGCCAGAGGTTTATTGCTCTATCTGCCATTGTTCCAGGCCTAAAAAAGGTACTAATCGAGATTTTTTTTAGTTAAATCATATTCGATTCCATTATACGCCACAAAATGGATACTTGTGATAAGCAAAAGGGTAATCATGATTGCTTAATCGATCGCATTTGGATCGAATATTTTAATTGATTTCCTCTTTTCTATAGATGGACAAGGCCTCTGTTCTTGGAGATGCTATTAAGTACTTGAAACAGCTTCAAGAACGTGTGAAGTCGCTAGAGGAGGAGTCGAAGAAGAAAACAATGGAATCGGCGGTCTTCGTGAAGAAGTATCAGCTCAGCACCGACGATGACTGTTCGTCTTGCGATGAGTCCTCCGAGGATCACTCTGCGAACCAAGCATTGCCCGAGATCGAAGGTCGGGTTGCGGACAAGGACGTGCTCATCCGCATTCATTGCGAGAATCAGAAGGCTATCGCGGCAAGAATCTTTGGGGAAGTGGAAAAGCTTCACCTATCCATTGTTCAAAGCAATGTGGTGCGATTTGGCAGCTCCACTCTTGACATCACCATTGTTGCTCAGGTACATATTAATCTCAGCATCTTCCTCTAAGTTGATTAATAATTACTCCACGCAAAAATCAATGCAAAAGGGTCCTTTTTTTTGGGGTGGAAGCGCTTTGCCACTTTTATACCTTAGTGAAAAATACCACGTTTGATTGCAAATCTGGGTTTCTTTGCTTTAAAAAATGCTAAACTTTCGTGTTTCATGTTGTCCAATCAAAATATAAGGAAGATCTAGATTTAAAGAAAGGATTAATACCATGAAAAACCCTAAACTGGTACATCTGTCATAATTTTACTCCAAACTATTTTTTTGACCACAAAAGACCCCAAACTGGTACACTTGTAATAAATTTATCCCAAACTAATATTTTGATCACTAAAAATTCTAAACTGGTACATTTGTGACAAATTTATCCTCTGTTAGTTTCCGTTAAATTGAATTAATACCACAAAAAATTACAAAATGGTACACCTGTGACAAATAGAGGGTAAAACATAAAACTAGTACATCAGTTAACTGTCGCGTGTCATTTAACAAAGTAATTTGACAGTAAAATTTAATGGAAACAAGTTGAAGGTAAATTTGTCACAAGTGTACCAGTTTTGGGTTTTTAGTGATCAAAAAATAAGTCCGAGGTAAAATTGTCACAAATATACCAGTTTGGGATTTTTCATGGTATTAACTCTTAAAGGAAAGGGCTTCATGTTCTTTCGTTTATTACTACTATTTCAAGTTCTCAATCATGACCGGAACAGAAAAGGTATGAACAGCATTAAAAGGCTTGGTGATTGATAATTATACAAAAAGGTAGCATATTTCAGAAAAATTAGTATAAGAAAAGTGAGGGTTCATATAAAAAATCAAAGAAATTCTCTATACATACAAAAACTGAGGACAAAATTCTGAAATTCAAATGCAGCTCGATCTATTAATGATCTAAGAAAACTATTTCCTCTTTTTGTTTAAGCTTTTGTTGTCTTGTCTAATTATTTATTTATTTATATGCCAGATGGATGATGGGTTTAGCTTGACAGTCAAGGAGATAGTGAAGAATCTGCGGTCTTCATTGTTGAAGTTCTGGCTCACGTGAAGCTGTTGAAGTTCCTTGCTGTTTCATGTTGCTTCCTCCTCTGTAAAACCCAATTTACCAAAGCTCCAGTTCGTAAAGGTTGTGATTTCGTGCAGGGTTTTTTCTCGTATTCACTCTTGTTTTTGCGCGGTTCAAAGATGCTTGTACGCCACGTTGAGGGAGTGAACCCATGCATGATGCGAAAAAAGATGTTTCCATTCAACTTTTTCTTCTTTTTTCTCATTCCCCTTATGTTTTAGGAGGATTTATGGAATACTCCATGTAATAGTCTTTCAATAAGAATGAAAAGCTGTTTTTATTATATCCTTGTTCCTTGTGGGCTCGTTGCTCATCTAATTCAAAATTTTGTACATCTTTGGAGTTTGAGTCTCATCAAGTTCACCATAGAACCAATGTAATTAAATTGTCGTAAATTGCAAACACTTTATTAAAAGGGAGAGATTTGTCGCCGTGAGTGCATTCCTTTAATTCCAAATGGATATGCAAGAGGTTGAATCAGGTAACATTATCTAAACAATTACATTCTATACAGTTTAGGACGAGAAAAGAACGAGCTTACAATCGTTTACAATTCCACACCCCCACATCTATCTATGATATATATAGTTAAAATCGGAGTTAAGAGAATGTTCTCTCGTGTGTATGTCACGTGACAATTCATTTTGCCTATATGATTGTCACATGGCATAATGCACGGCATTGTTTTGCCACTAGCCTACATTCGACCCATAAATTTTTTGTTCGTTAGTTTTTGTTATCTACTAATTTCTGTTTTTCTTATTGAATTTAAATTTGAGGAAATTGAGAATATGGAAGTTAAGAGTTTTTAGCAACACAAAAAAAGTTTGGATAATTGTGTCACAGTAGGCATATTTTGAGGTTTTTTTTTGTGGTATCAACCTTTAATTTAATGTGTTAAAATATGAATGATGACAAAGTTCATGAGTTTTAATTGTTGTAATAACACTTTTGTCCCTTGTTAATAATAAAATTCAAATATTTGAGTATATATTTGGAAAAATAAATAAAGAGAAAATATCTTTGGTTATGTGGTTAAATGATATAATGTATTTTGAAAATATACATTGTGAATTTAAGGAAATCAATTTATATAATTTGCAGCATATCTTATTTTACTACATGAAGACATTTTACTTATTTTAATATATTTGAATCAAATAAATTGTAGAAAATATTAGAATATATATTTATCGACATGAAATTGAAAAAATGAATAAAATTTATAAAATAATAGCTAATTTATAACACAATTGATTAAATTTACATCTTATAATTATGAGGAAATTAATCGAAATAAACAACTCATGTTACTTTAATATCACCAATATTTTTGTCCCAAACTCACAATAAAATATTTTTGACGTAAAGCAAGATCAATTTGCAACTTATTTATGATATAGAGTTTTTTTTATTTCATTTAGTTTCATTTTCTACTTTTTGTATAGACTCGTTTCAGATATAGCTTCCATTATTGTACGTTAGAAATCATTTTTTTCTATTAATCTTCTGTGTGCTTAGGAAGCATAACATTATAACTACTTTTTCGTCATGTATTAATCTTACGCCTTCGTAAAGCATGTTATGCTTCTTGAAAACTATACGTATAATTATCAAATAAAACCTCATCTCCTCTTACGTCACATCTCATATACTAGATTACTAACTATTCAAATATATGTAGATACCATCGCCAAATATATATATATACACACACACACACACATAGACACCGCATCCTCGTTTCTCTTCCACAATCTCCCACTTAGAGTTAAAAATGTTGTTTTAGTAGTCTTCTTTCATTTATCGTTCTAACGTAGGTACTCTATCCAATTTGTAATGTTTTGTTTGGAATGAAAAGTTTATTTCTAGAAAAAAATTTTATATGCAAATAGACATACTGGGCAGGCTAAGCGACTAGTTTTGCTGTTTGATGCTACTCATAAAATCTCATTCTATGGGAAATTTAAAGTTCTTACACTAAGGAATGTCCGGGCGACTTGGGAGTCGAACTATGTAAATTGATTTTGAGCGACGTCTCTCTCACATTTGAAGGCCCATTTGTATTCGCGACAAGGACAACCTGGTTTGAGGTCCTTCAAACTATACAGAAATATCCAGCTTGGAATGAACTTATAAAAATGACCCAAATGATTAATCAAATGGATTCTGGCTTGAACCAGCTTGATAACTATACTATTAATTAAAGAACGACAGAAGATATGGATCTTAACAACAATCTCAAGTGATCCCCATTGGGATCCTGTCTGTCTTTTCCCTGACACGGTCAATACCTACTACTACTCAAACTCTTTGGGCTTTTTGCCCCAGTTTTCATTGTCTGTATTGAGGGGAGATGAGTGGGAGGAGGTGTTTTCTGTTTGTATCCAGCAATTCAACGCAGGGACCGCACGTGGTTAAGCCTTAAAGTTCATAGTTATCATTCTAAACCAGATTCTGGTATACATGTTACAGAGGACATTGAACGGGAGTTCACACGCGAGTTCTTGCTTCGAGGGAGGATTTAGGGTTTCCACGAGAGGGCGTGAGAGGATTGACATCTAGAAGGCTCGATTGCCAAGTGACATGATGAAAAATATCGTAAGCTAAGCTTTTTTGGGGGGAGAAGAGACCCATTCGCCATTGGAGAGAGCACTATTACCGTTCTTCAATGATGAGTTTGCGCGTAGCTATGTTATATAGAGAAATACTTATGTGATTGCCCTTAATCTGTTATGCTAGCAAAGCCTTGTTATATATATAGAGAAGTATTGAATGGCTACTGAATAAGGTCATGCCGTGAGGTAATTTGTGTGGTGAATCGATGGGTGTTTAGTGAAGACATGGATTTAAGATAGATGGCCCATGTCATAATGACATGAGTCAACACCAAGCACGTCAAAAAAAAAAATGGGAAAATGAGAAGCGATTCTTAAACTTTGGTTCAATGTGCAATTTTGTCCAAAAAATTTTAATTTGTTCAATGTGGTCCCTGAATTTTGGTCCAATGTGCAATGTCGTCTATGAACTTTTAATTTGTTCAATGCAGTTCATGAACTTTGGTCCACCGTTCAATGTGATCTCTAAACTTTTAAATATTTTCATATAGTTTAAAGACTACATTCAACATCTATCAATAGTTCATGGACTACATCGAACAAATTAAAAGTCTAAGAATGACTTTGCATATTGGGTTAAAGTTTATGGACTATATTAGATAAATTAAAAATTTATGGATGGCATTTCACGTTGAACTAAAGTTCATGAATCATTTGTACTATTAACCCTTTTCAAAAAGTTTAGAAGTAGACCGTTAAGTATTTTCTAATGAGCCCATCTTCCAGCCCACCATGCAAAAAGTCTCTAGAACGTGTTCCAAAATGGCAAACACAACTCAAGATCTTGTAACTGATCCAGTTAGCTTGCATGGGCCCAACATACTTTTTTAATAATTGAACCTCAAGACTAGGGCCCTCTTTAAGAAGAACTAAATAACAATTTATTTTCTTACCATAGATATAAACATAAATGCGAAGTGCAAATAATACATGCAGATTTCAAGCCGAGAAGAGCATGAGTCTCACTCTAGAAGAATGGAAAGAGCAAGAAGAATTAAATCATGAATTTCTTTCCATCCATTAAATAGGAAAGCTTGACCAGACTAAGGTTTTCTGTACAATCTCAACCAATATTTTACAAAGAGACATGTTTTATCAAATTAGATGAAGCAAAGTTTGGAAACGTTACTAGTTGCCACTCAACACTTCAATTTTGGCATAAATCCTCCTGATGTTTCCAAATCAATTTCAATGCACCCCTAATGGAGGCTCTCGCCAAATTCTCATCAGAAAGTCAATCACGTGCTCCTACGTAACTAGGTAACAAATCTCATCAGAATGTCAATCACATTGCAAAAAAAATTTAAACACCAGAGGGTAATTTGCATCTATGTAACAAATCTACAGGGTCTAGAAAGAACATTTTTGCCCTCTAGTTCTTGCAGGCGACACATCACGTGACAACACTTGATCGTTTTCAGGTGACAATGTGCTTGCAATCAAAGCTGGGGGCAGTAGACTCGATTTGAAAACAGCAGGGAAATCGTGCCAAAATTGAGATATTGTGAGGTAAGTTGCAACGACCCCAAAAATCTTGGGGGCAACTGGAAATGAGTGACCAGTTTGGCTGAAGCTGATACACAATAACTTAGATATATCAACGTAGCGAAGCTCTCCAAAACCCAAATGGATTATTTTCCTAGCTTTAAGAACTCCAACCTAGTACATACAATCTATGGTTGAAACCTTGAATCTTGTTTCGTTTGATAGTCCTGGAAAGATTGACATAATCGAGGCGAGGGCATCTGTTAACTGGCTTCTTCTCTTGTGTGAGTTACTTGTAGTTCTTTTGGAAAGAATTGGCTAAGAAGTACATTCAATCTCCAAGCGGAAAGGTCAGACAACCGATATGAACAAGTCACGTAGCCGAATCTTGATGCTGTCATGCAATCAAAGATGTATGTATAAAAGATATTTCTTCCGTCAGCGAGCCTAATAAAATGCATATAATGCTCATAAACAGATGCAAATAACAGATGGAATCACACTCTACTATTACCTGACATGAAACTCAAACTTGTAATTTACCTTGCTAAACAAACTGATTTGCTTAAGGGTTTTTGCTGACAAAAGCTTGTAAACCATCGATAAGTCGGACCACTTTACCTCAGACATATAGTTAAAAGCATTTCAGTTTCGGCGTGATTCTGCAGGCCTATTTCTCTCACCTTCTTGCATTTTAAAAGACCTCCTTGAGAATACATATCCGAAATTCTTACCTCAGATGCAAATTCTCGAACTGCCACCATTCTCTTTTCAAAAGCTGGATTCACTTCAGCTGAAGGAATGGCTGGTCTAATGCCTACTCATCAATCTCTTTTTTCTGCTCTTCCATTGGGAGCTCTCAAAAAATGAGTATAAAGTTCAAAAGTGATTCACAATCAGATTTTGGGGTTGTATGAGATCAGATATTTGGTAACCTAACTTCTACTATATGAAAAGTTAAGCTTTCAGATTGAAATTTGACTTGCTCCGAACTTATAGCGAGATTATTGGAGTGCATTTGAGCACATTCCGGGTGTCATCATCACTCCTTTCTTCGTGGCCATGTTTGTTTTCAGCTTAATTTATTTTTCATGATCAAACATACTGGCTACCGCCTGCAAGAGGAAATGCAGATTTCAGTATCTTGATGAGAATGAGAGTTTTGCGTGCGAAGCCAATT